GGGTAACATCTTCAGTGCTAAAATGGGATGGGGTTTGCTCTCTATTTATATACTGTGGCATCTGTGGCATCACGTTTGCAAGAAAAGAACCAAGCGCAGAGAACCCCAAGGACTCCAGAGTTTCCCAAATGCCTCTTGCTTCACATTGTATCAGTTGGACAAGAACAACAACTATACAATGGCTGTGTTCATGTAACAGGCGGCAATGGTTTATTATGCATGGTTTATTGAATAAACCACAAGTGGCTGGGTTTGTATAATACACTAAGCCATAAACCATGGACATAACACTGACTGGGTTTGTATAACATTATGCCAGAAATAAGCAACTCATATTTTGACTTAGCATTATAAACCCACAATTAAAGTAACAGAAGCAAATGCTCATTTGATATTGGGTGGTTGCCTTTTAATAGCTGTAAGGAGAAGGCCTTTCAGCAGATGTAACTTGCATGAGATTCTTCTTCAGCACAACTGTTAAAAATGGAGAGCTGTGTCCTCTTTTGCATGATGGTTGCTCAGTTTAATAATGGGAAGTGGATACAAAAGCAGTTGAGTAATGAGAAATAATTTCATACATACAGATGTGCCTATTATTCACTTATGAAACTATGGCAGATACAATAAAGGAACTCCATTGAACCCTTTTTTTTTTTTTTAGGATAGCAAGCCCAGGAGAGAGGACTATTCCATCAACTCCTTCAACATTTGATCCTAATAGAAGATAAAGCTCCATTTACAGGATCTGCCCAAGAGGCTTTAGAACATTCACAAAATACATAAGGGAGCACTTCAGAGCATTCATTTTAATACTGGAAGCTATGGCCCTAGCCCTTATTCTGATTTCATTTATTCATAAAATACATCCAAGAATGCACTAGACCAATTGCTGTGGTTCCACTGCTGCCTTAGATCCCCTCCCTGCATCTCTGGCATTAAACCAAAGCAGATCACATCTATAGGAATGTTTTAGAATATGGAAAACAGTGATCTCTTTTTACTGCAAGGACAATAAAATATAAAAGGTTCTCCCGTGTGTTAGAAGTCAATAGTTTCGTGGCCTTGGAAATAACTTGAGCACTGTTTGGTAGGAAGGGAAGAAAAAGACACATAAGCAAAGTACCCAATTTAGGTTTCAAAAGGTGGGTATCATATAAGTGACTTTTTGGTGGTGGTGGGGAGAACAACACAGCTGAGATTCCAAAAGCCTTCAGTCTGGGAGTCCAACCTGGTAATGAGTCTCCATTACATTCTCTTGGCTGATACCACCAGGGACAAGGGCAGCTGTGCCTTCTTTGTGGAAAATGGAAACATGCAGAGATACCCCCTCACCCCACAATCACTGTCCCACGATCCGAGGTTCCCTTGTGGGTTAGAGCATCCACTGCAGTCCAAAATTTTCATATCCGTCACACATGTCTCTTCAAATGCAGAGAGAGGTGGTCTGAGCGGGAGAAAGCACGCTGGCAGAGGTGACACTTGAATGGGCGCTGTCCTGTGTGTTTACGATAATGGCGAGTCAGCTCATCTGAGCGGGCAAATTTCCAACCACATCCTTCCCAAGTGCAGTGATATGGTTTCTCTCCTGTAAAACAAAGTATCACTATGTCCTTCTGATACCACTGGATCCAAGGGGTCATTATTTTAAGTTCCATAGTTAACATTCATGCAGAGAATGGTGAGGAAATAAGCAACCTTAAATTATAGGATTTCCCACTCCCCACCCCCCCACCCAGCTCAGGGTATGGGGGCCA